AGGAAACACATCCATTATTTCTGGGCTCTTTCCTAACAAAACAATAGCCACGCAATTACACTTTCCGTCTACGTATCTGTCAATTTTCCTTCATAACTTTTGAACTCAATGGCCAATTTGAAGTGAATTGTTCAGAAGTCTCAAAGATATTAAATTATCGCAAGTGCCTTTTTAAAATCAGTTGTGCAGAAGACAGGGAACATTTAAACGACCTTATTACAGAGAAAGCCAGGAGAGCTCATCCCCTAATTGAATTGCTGGATTGCCAATCAGCAAGTACATGCTTGTAGACAAGCTACCCAGTGTATTGTCTCTTGTTTAGAGGGAGAAGTTGGAGAAATGGAAGGGGTACCTGGCTACTTCAAATGGGCTAGGAGACATTGGAGAGAGGTGAGAAACCCATGCATGAGCTGGTCACATTAAAATGGGTAGCTCGAAGGAGATTGCAGTGGCAAAGATGAAGGCAAATCTGTAGGATGTGTGTGTTCACAGAGCAGCCTGAATTTCTCTGGTCTTATCCCTTCAGATTCCCTGGGAAATATGATGATGAAAAAATGAGCATGAGGCCTGAAATTTTAGATTTCTCTGGAATGAAGCAGTACTTCCCAAACTGCAATCCCTTTCCAAACACACAACACTACTTCTCCTCTCTCAGGTTCACAGCCCTGCTCGGTGCTGTGTCTTTAGTTTGAGAGTGATAGCTCTAGAGCCTACACACTAAGAGTAGGTCAACTAAAATAGTTATTAATTTCTCCTTGGACTCTATTCAGTTCCTATTGAGCTGGAAGAATGATAGTAACAGATCCTGCAAATAGAGCCTTTAATATTTTGAGCCTGTTCAGTGTCCTAGTGTGATAGAACTGGGGCAGAAGAAAGAGGAGGATGCAGAATCAGCTTAACACGCCCTCCTGAGGCTCACTAAGATCCCAGATAAGCCAATACTTTGTCCATAAGTTGCTATTTTCTTTCAACTTCCTAATAACAGCCCAAATAAAGAGTTACAGTAGTCCCTCCTGGAGCTGACTAAGATTATTAGGAACATTTATCACTAAGAATGGCACTTGCTCAAAGACGGACGATGGCAGCGGGCCACTGAAGTACCACCAAAAGCTGATAGACAAATATTCTAATGAACTGTTGCTCTCCTGACAGTGCTGATAGCGTCATGAAGGGTGTGACATATTTTGAGGGCTTAAAATTGTCTGCACACATTTCACAGAACAACTAAACAACTTTTTGAGGAAGATATGCTCTAGCCACCAATGTTTTGAAGGTTTCCTGAGAATCTCTCATGAACGGCTGCCAGTGCAAGTCTTGAACTAGGCAGTGTATCAATAGAGCTGCATTTGTTGGAGCACTTAAAATGATTTTTATTGCAATAATTGCGGTATCAAATATTCCCTTATTCTCTTTCGGAAGTTTCATTCTGTTGCTAATTTGCCTTCAAGACCTGTTCATGCTGTCCATACGGAGTTAGACCACATTTGTGGTATCCGATCCCAGTATCGAGGCTGAGTTTATTCTTTCCACAATCAGGAGGTTTCGTTAGGAGATGCTGGCCAACATAACCACAGATATCCGAAAGTGTGACATTAGAAAGTCACAGTTTCCTCCTCTGCTTCCCTTTCGTCATCACGCTTGAAGGCTCTCCTTTCTATAGCCTTTGCTAAGCTGTCAATTGCTTAGCTTCAGGGCTTCCCAGTGTCACTGCATGCTAGACCCATTGCTTAGGCTGAGTTAAGGGCTGAGGCTGAAATACCCCCAAGAACAGAACTATCCACACTTGCAGGGTCTGCACCTAACACCCTGTAGTTCAGGCTGATGGGGTACACTGATGCAAAGAGGATGACCAGGTGAAAACTCCTCTGTTCAAACTTCTTGCTTTAATCCAAAATGTCAACAATAAGAAATGTTTAACACATTTGGTACAATCATAGCTAAATACAGTTCTTTCCTCCTCTCTCCTTTCACCATAGTTATCTGACACACAATCTAAAGAGAGCAGTAGGGATTAAACGTAAGTCAGCTGAAGATGGCAATCTTATTATTCAGAGTTCTCCTGAATTTGTCTCAAAAATCACTATCCATCCTCAATGCCACTCATGAACAACGGGAAAACAATCAAATACAAATCTTACTATGAATAGCTCTGCTAACAGTCAATTTTATTTCACCTGTGAAGGTTAGGCCTGTCTGCTTCTTATCTCCAACCATAAAGGGACAAAAATGTAACATCCATAAAACGTCCCATTTACCTACTAAGAACCTATAGCCATTTGTAGAAGAGTGACTTTTAAGAACAGCTACTGGTAGGATGAGGATTTTGAGAGCTTAGGTTGAAGATCGCAGAAGGAAGAGAGGAAAAACAGAGAAATCAAGATAGTAACTCAAAGATGCTGAATGGTTTCTACACGAGAATACGAAGTATCAGAAGGAAACAAGAAACCAAATTGCTAAGGTACCTTGGAAGGTCAGGATACAATATACTGGCAGGTGAGCATACTGAATACATCAAGACAAGGTAAGTAAAGATATTATATGGGCACAGTTGATTTCATAGAGATGCTGGGAACAGACATATTTGAAATTTCTGAACACAATCCTATGTCATGCTCCTGAGAGGTCCATTCATCTGAGCTGTACACTGTGCTGTTCTTGGTGTGAAGAACCATGTCCTAAAGCACGAAGTAATCTCCCATCTAACACAAAAGTGGCCTTTATGCAGACTGTGATTCTTTTGTACTACATGTTTCTCCCCATTAAGTTTCTCTCCAAATGCAGAGCTCAATACACAGCACAGTAGTAAGTCCTGAATTGATAATTTTCCATGGAGATTAGACTTTCCGTTGCTCTGACGATACCAGGCTTCAGAATTAGATGGGCTGGTTTTAGCAAGTGGATTTCCTACGGACTGCTGCTGAATGGCACTGCACAGAGGCACAATGATATTAGTGTAACTTCACTGGATAGAGGCTTTCTTTTTGTTCAGCTTCCTGTTCCTGCCTACAGCTTTTGGGAATTACTATAATACGATAATCAGTAACATTATTTAACATTTCCCAGTCTATGTTTCTGAGAATTATACATATTTTATGCCAGACTCTACAAGGAAAACCCAAAAAATATAGAAAAAATATTCGGAATCACTGGTAACACACTGTTCTTGTAGCTCCCAGAGACCCTTGACAAATAAAAGAATGTACTTTACTAAGGATTATATAAAAGCAGAACAAAAGGAGGCCCTCACTTGACTGCCTTACACAGTAATATGCATTAACGGACTTGATGTTAACTGTTTCAAGTAATACCCAGAAGTCCTGGCAGGTAAACATGTGTGATGCTAGTTTAAAAATGATTCTAACTATCTTAGTAACAGTCAGAAAATTAAAAAGAGATTTTATCATTATTGTCCCCAGGATGAGTTTCAGAATTACCCTAACTATGAAAAACTGTAATAAACAAACGTATGTGGGTTTCCAGAGTGTGAGACTCAGATAAAGGTCAAATCCTCTTTCTTGATCTAGGAAAGAACTCTTGCAACAGTCTGAAGCTGGGATAGCCAGCTATGTCAGTGCTGGCTGAGGTCAGGCAAAGGCAAAGCCAAATTACTACGTGGCACCATCCATCTGCAGAGGCAGTTCTTGCTGGAGTACAATAACCAACGGATGCTTTTGCTAGAGCAGCTCATCCCAGCTTGACTCTGTCTGCACACAGTCATTTTAAGACTCAATGAGACACAAAGCTTAATGCTGCTTCTGCTTCAGCCCCCAAGAGCTGAGCATTGCACTGGTGAAGCTAAAGAAAGGAGAGATGCCTTCTCACAACACCACATATTGTTAAGAAATAATCTTATTAATTCCAAGTGCATCAAAGCTCAGTTACTGTAAGATTTTTTTGACCATATTTAATGTACAAAGTAGACTGACTCCTAACGAAACTATTAATTTTAAGCTGAAACCAGATTACTTCAGCTCAGAGTGGGTAAGTTGCTGGTAAACACAGTGCAATTTCTGTACAAAAATCAAAAGGGTTCTACTGTTGTTATGGATTTGCTCCAGGAGCTCTGTGCTGAAGCACAAAAGCCGTTATTGGATCACATATTTGGGTAATACGATATATGAATGGCAGACAGGGAGAAGATAATGAAACATATCCTTCAAATAGTAACACTAGAGAGTATTTGGATGGAATAACAATGCTCAACACTCATAAAACTTTGTAGCTTTACTGTCTTTTTGGTAAAACATATATACTGTATTGAAACAAATCACAGAACATTCACTGGCAGCCACATTTTCTAACGTGTTTCGTAACACAAAAGATGAAAAGATCATCTTTCCCGTCTGTCTGGATTTAAATGACTTACATTTGATGAATAATTTTTAAAACATCAGGATGCCAATAGTAATATGAATGATCATAGTTTTCAGATGTTTTTAATTTGCAGTTGGAGATAAAAATGCACAAACCCATTTCAATATTTTTTTACACGCAGATAATAAACGTGCTGCTTCTACTGATTATCACATTGATTTAGGGTAGAGGTGTTCATGTATCATTACATAATTTCATTTAATGTTTGTAACGTCTATGGGTAAGATGTCTTATTCCATTTAATATGTTACATCTGACTGAAGGCCAGAGTGGATTTGATAAAAAAAATGTTCTGCCTAATGCATTGTTAGTAATGGCTCAGTTTCCCTTATTTCCCCTTAGAATTTGAACACAAAGTAAAATAAGTCTACATTTCTTTAAAGCATGCAGGCAGCTGAAACACACATATTTGCATAAGTTGCAACACTTAGTGAATGGCAAAAGCCATGCAAACCACTGAGCATGAGGAATACACTGTGGATAATGGAGAGGAAAAAACAGAAGAGATGAAAAGGAAAAATAAACCATGCATCCGTGAAAGCAATGGTAGGCACTGGTGGAAGAATAAGTGAACACCTCAAGGTGTAGAGAAAAAAAGGACAGATACCTACCCCAACCTGCGCTATCTAGCTACCGACCTGTGGACTTATAGTATCGCCAGTTGGCTCACCAAATGGATCACTGTTGGATGAGGCCTGAGACCCATCAGGCTAGAATACAAGAAGATAACACCTTTTTTTCTCTCAACAATAAGAAAGTGAAAAGTCAACACGAGGTTATTTTCATGCTGTGGGCATAACAAGTACAGCCTATCTCATGAAAACCAGAAAGTGAGACCTCGCCGCTGATACGTTCTCAAAAGCCATAATGGTCTCCTGCAGCTGACGCAGGCAGGAAAGGACCACACCAGTACCTGCTGGAGCCCATGCAGGAGCTGCCACAGCCTTCAGAAGGTACTGCATCAGACAAACCAGAACTGCAAAAGGCCCTGAAAGCCAGTGAATCTATGTCAATCAGAAAGAGTTCAAGCTTGCATTATTTTGTACTTTTGGCTCCTTTTTTGGTACAGGCTCCCTCTTGCCTTTGGCTCACTTAGGCTCTTATTTGCCTAAGGTACCTCGTGATTTAGAGTCATTGCTTGGGTAACATGTCTTGCTTTGGTCCACTGAGTCTAAGGCAAAGAAATCACATACTGAGGGCAAGAACATCGAGGAACGCAACTAGGCAAGCAACTGGGATGCAAGAATGTGCAAGACAACATCGACCATCATCTTTTAACACACAAACTCTCACATCTCTTTCTGCAGCCTCAGCATGTATGTTGTTTTACTTCGAACTCCCTTACCATCAACAAGTGAATGGTGGTATGCTAAAAAGGACATTGGATACAACTAATATATATAACATTACACATGAACTCTGAGTTTGGTTCCTTGGATGCAATATTAGTGCATATCAACATAAATGTCATGCTCCTAGCTATCAAAACTGAACTGGCAAGTGAATGCTGTCTGCAGCTCCCCCTTAAATATCACCCAGCCCTACCAGAATAGTTATTTCTGACACTACCAGACAACATTTAATTAACTTCTGTCTTCTCTAGCTAAAAAGAGCTAATCAGTATTTAGAAACCTTGTTGCTACTCACAGCCTCTTGCTCCTCACTTTTGCTTGGGCTTTCAAACCCCTCTTCAAAGAGGTCATCTGCAGCAGGATCACTGGTATGAGATGCTGATGATTTTGATGGAGAACTCTGTCTGGGTGCAGGGGTTGGAGCTAAACAAAGATTAAGGTAACAGCAACAGAATATATATATGTTAATTTGTTCAGAAAGACACAGCAGCACAAAATCTGCTCGTGCTTTAGAGCCCTCAACTTTTATTACCCCTGAAAATTATTTTCTGACGAGAAGCTGTAAGAGGTAAATTCCAACACAGAAGTCATTATCAATTCCATGTATTTGATTTCATCCAGTCGTTTCCAAATTAAGTTTGGCTGCATCTGGCATATGTCTTTAGGAACCAGGGAGACGCCACTACATTACATTAAGAATGCATGAGTCGCCTGCCCTATGGCAGCAAGCGAAACAGAAGGTCTCCGACTGGCGCCTGGTAAATCTGTGTCTCATGAACATCTTTTCAGCAATCTGCAAAATACCCCATCTCCACGCTACGAACACAATAAGCGTATTTTACAGCTCTTCAGTGAATTTCTTCACATGTCCAATACATCAAGCTATTAAAATAAGATACCCATCCCCTAATTTCTGCAAAGTACGGCTTGAATGGGACATAAGTGAAACCATTTGTAAGGTTGAATGTCATCGGCATTTTCCAATCAGCTTGCATGTCCCTAGCACAGAATATTACTGTCTTCTTAGAAATTAAATTTCAGACTGCAGCTATCAGGGCTGTTGATTTCAATGGTCTCTGAAATACCTCTCTGATACTTTTCTTTATGGCTGGAATGCATTTAATAAGCTAGACCATGCATGAAGGTTTTCAGTCCATATGTGTTGCAATTTATTGTAAGAAAAAAAAAAAGGAAGAAATACTTTGAGGAGCAGTCACATCTGCAGAAAGGTATGGCTGAAAGCATATGAATACTCACGTGAATTTGTAGACGGTGTCGTGGAAGTCACAGGAGTCAAATTTAACTGAGAGATGTCAAAGTCATCACAATCATCTGCTTCCTGTGCCATCCCAACTTTGTTAAAGTAACTTGAGAAGGCCTCTGAGGTACAACTGAGGGAAGGCTGATCTGGTTTTCTTGATGGCACTGGTGGAGGCTGAGCCATCTGGAAATCTTTAAACATTTCTTTCCCCATTTTCTGTCTGGGCCTGTCTGTCTGTGGACTTGATCTGTTGGAATCACTCGTGGGTGGAACAGTAGCTATAGGAGCAATGGTACCTTGAAACATGGCTGCTTGTAAAGGCAAAACAGTTTGTGTTGGCATGAAGGCAGTTGGTTGGAACTGACCAGCTACAGATGGCCACGGTTGCTGAGTAGGAGGAAAAATACCGGGTTGGCCCCACGCTATCGGCTGTCCTCCCTGCATCACCTGAGCAACTGGAGGCTGAGCACCCATGGCCAACTGCTGTTGAACAAGTGGTTGCTGTCCCCAGAATGAGGGCAGAACAGCTCCCATGGCAACATAACCTTCAAAG